TCTCTGAATAATTTTTGGTTTGACTGTATATCCTTCGGTTATTTTCACACTTAATTATGCCCATTAAAATGTATTTTACAAGTTTTTGTTACTTTCACTGTTCATTTTTTTGCTCTGTGGTACAGCATCTTTAATTTAACAGCATTAGAGCTGCTCCATTGCAGCGGCTTAGTACTGTAATCACACGCTTTGCTGTAATAATGCAGGGAACCACTCATTATAAATCTCCTAACTGTGATATTTTCAGAAATAGAAGTCGCGTTTTTTCATCTGAAACGTGCTGCGATTTATATTCCAAAGCCACTCATATAATGCAGAAACACTCAAGCAAGCAAAACACACGCAACGCGTGCACGTATTTGTTCTGATGCAGAATAGTACAGCCTAGCGCATTACACACAGGCTGTTAGTTTCACTTTCGCCAGAAAGTCGTGTATGCTTAAGGTTGAAAATAGATGATGTTTGTAGTGAATGCCCCTATGAATGGTTTTATTTTTACAATTTAGTTTTAATCCAAATGATGCGTGTGCTAAGTGAGTGAACATCAAAGTGAGTGAACATCAAAGATCACACAACAGAAGTGCGCGCGCTCTCTCTCTCTCTCTCTCTCTCTCTCGCTCTCTCTCCCTACCGATAAGTAACTTGTGCATTGTTTTACTTACTTGATTTTGACATATCCGACCGAACTACAAACTTTCCAGTGATGTCTGTGAGAAAGGTATATTCACTGGACAAGCTCGGCATCTGCGCCGCCGCGCGCTCAATCCACTCAGCGTGCTTTGTTTATCAGCTCGCGCACATCAGCTATACATGCGTTAAAACTTAAAGTTTAACGTTATATTCATTGCATACATATACTTCGTATACATCCTTAACTCCTTTCTGCTGTCTGTTGTTCTGTTGTCGGTGTTTCTTTGTTTGAATATGGCGCTTAACACATGCTGTGTGGTATCGGCGTTTGGTATCGGGGCATTTTAACCAGTACGAGTATGAGTACAGGAGCTCAGTATCGGGCCCGATACCGATACTGGTATCGGGCTTATATTAGGGTGCATTCCTAATATAAATTATGCTAAAATGACAAAAACAAAATTACTAAAACTTTAACTAAAATGAAAAATAAAATGGAAACTACAAAAATACATTGATTCAAAATATTAATAAAAACTATAAGTATCTTAATGATGCTAAAATAACACTGTACGAGACTTTGATTCTTTCAAAAACAATAAAAAAAATCTCACAGCCCCCAAACTTTTGAATGGGAGTGTACTTATGAAATTACTGGTATTTCAGATAATTGTGATGTGTGCCTGTGTGTTTTGTTTGAATTAGAGAGAAGTTTTTCCATGAGGTGAACTCCATGCAGCAGCAGAGAAGCTCCGTCTCGCTGGTGAAAACTAAAGCGCTGGTGAAGAGCCTAATCAACCGCTCGGAGCTGCTGCTGCATGTTACCATCGCACCGCAGTGCAAGAGTCTGTCCTCAACACCAACATGCACACCAGGTGACTCTCACTCACGCACACTCTCATGCAGACTCACTCACGCACACACTCACACACACACACTCATTCACACAGACACACAGACACTCACACACACGCACACTCACGCACACGCACGCACACATAGACACACACACGCACACATAGACACACACACTCGCGCACACTCGCACACACACACACACACACACACACAGAGACACACACACACTCACGCACACACACTCGCGCACGCACACACACACTCGCGCACACACACTCACACCCACACACACTCACACAG